GGTAATGAAAGGTCTGCAAGAAACCACCAAGCTCAGAGACCACCAAGGACCCTACCCCCACATCTCCTCCTCCATCTCCATCCTCCAACCCGCACCCCCTTCTAGCACTGATGATGTCACCTAGTTGGGTAATGAAAGGTCTGCAGGAAAACCCCAAGCTCAGAGAGCACCAAGGGCCCCATTGACGTCATCGCTGTCATTTTCCTCTTTCTTCCTGCAATCCCTATTCCCTTCTATCACTGATGGTGTTACCTGGTTGGATAATAAAATGCGTGCAAGAAAATCACAAGCACAGAGGACCCCAAACGTTCAACCCTGAGCTACAAATATTCTCTTCTATTATTGCCAGCAAACATCTATGCTGTCCTCAGGACATGAGACACTTCAATTCTTTCGGCCATTGTATAGCTTTACTTTGTAGGTTTGTGTCGATGTTAGCCAGCCCCTTCATGGTTTTGCAACACAGCTTCTCTCCTCTAATGGTCTCTGTCTTCCTGATAAGATGGAGCTGGGTGAGTTCACCCTTGCTTTTTTTTATTTTTTTGGCTGAAAAACCACAATCTTGCAAACTCCCTTGTCCTTGTGAGCGTCCAGCCACGAACCAACCTGCTTTTAAAAGCAGAATTTTAATTCCGGGATCGTGTGGATGCTATTTCGAGCAGAGGAGAGACGAGACAAACGCCGGTCCCTGAATTTACCGCATCTGGAAGTATATTTTGCGATCCCGTTTTTCTTACCTGGATTTCGGGCACGATGGGGCCTCGCTCGGAACAGGAGCTGGCAAAGGCGGTGAGCGGAGTGGGAGACACCACAGGGTTGGGCCGGGCAAAGTTGCTCAGATCGCAGCTGGGGATGTCGTTTTCTTCGTGTCGCATGACGATGGTCTCCATGACGAAGAAGTGGTTCCAGGGTAGCCAGAGGGTGTGATCCTGAGTGATGAAGGGCGCCCGCTCGAAACGCAGAACGATGGCTATCCCGCCATTGGTGACTAGGTCGAAACTGTGTGGGCAGAAAGCCAAAGATAGATAGTTGGGTTTTTTTTTGTTTTGTTTTTGCAGGAGGGAAGCGAAACAAGTGTAGATTAGCTGGCCGATGTGGGTGAAGGAGAGTGACCTTGCGGTGACATTTCCCCTTTAAAAATAATAATAATAATGAAATGATTCTATTTTGGCCAATTGACTGGGTGGATTTGAACTCAAGCACAAATGCACCATTTTTTTTAAAAAAGACAACCCACATAAATTAAGAAAAGTATTTTCTGATTTCTTGTACAAAGCGGTAAAAAGGACTAAGAAAACATGTAAAGGAAACATGTTTCAGGGCAGAACTGTGGTAACTTTAAGATGCATAGACTTCAATTCCCAGAATTCCCTAGCCAGCATACTGGAAGCTGGAGTCTATCCATGCTGGCTGAAGAATTCTGGGAACTGGAGTCCACCCATATTGGCTGGGGGATTTTAGAAGCTGAGATCCAACCATTTTGGCTGGGGAATTCTGGGAATTGAAGTTCACCCATACTGGCTGGGGAATTCTGGGAGCTGAGATCCAACCATTTTGGCTGGGGAATTCTGGGAATTGAAGTCCACCCAAGCTGGGTGGGGAATTCTGGGAGTTGAAGTCCATACATCTTAAAAGTAGCTCAGGTTGAAAAAGGCTGCCCTAAACTGTTCACAATTAAAGCAACCATGGAAACTGGTGTGTGTGTGTGTGTGTGTGTGTGTGTGTGTGTGTGTGTGTGTGTAGGAAACAGACATAGGGGGACCTTATTAACATGAAGGGAGAAATTTAAAGAGGGACTATTTTAGCTGGCAACTAGTGGCCAACATCCAGAGGCCCCATCTAAGAGATCTACTGTGAGGTAAATCTAATTTACAATCTGGCAGACATGGTGGGCCTAATTTATTTCCGGTCCATGAAAATAAAAACAAAGCAAGTGAGCCGAGAGAGCTATTGATTCTGCAATTCAAGTAGGAAAACGCTGGCTGGTTTTTAATGGCGTGCCGGCAAACTCAAAAGCGCTGAAGCTTCAAGGAAGACATTTTTAAACCAAGGGTCTTCAAACTTGACAGCTTTAAGACCTGTGGACTTCAACTCCCAGAATTCCACCTCCCGTCCTATTAGCCCCAGGAATTCTGGGAGTTGAAGTCCACAAGTCTTAAACTTGCTGAGTTTGAAGACCCTTGTTTTAAACAGTTAGTTAACATTTGACAAGGTCAGAGGTGGGTATTCATCAGGTTCTGACCAGTTCTGGAGAACCGGTAGCGGAAATTTTGAGTAGTTCAGAGAACCGACAAATGCCACCTCTGACTGGCCCTGCCCCCATCTATTCTCCTCCTCCCGAGTCCCAGCTGATTGGCTGAGTCTTCTTTGGTTGCCCTGCACAGGAGAACGGAGCTGGAAAGCAGGTTAGTGGGGTGGGGAGGGAATGGGAATTTTGCAGTATATCCTTCCCCTGGCATGTCCACCAAGCAATGCCCACAGAACCGGTAGTAAAATTTTTTGAATCCCACCAAGCCCGGATGGTGAACTGAGCAGAGCTGCAGTGGGGATTGCAGAAATAGATAGGCAGTCCTCGACTTACGACTCCAACTGAGCCCAAAATTTATGTTGCTAAGCAAGACAGTCGTTCAATGATTTCCCCCCGCATCTTACAACCTTTCTAGCCACAATTGTAAAGCGAATCACTGCAGTGGTTCACTTAGTGACACGGTTGTTAAGGGAATCTGGCTTCCCAACGTTGACTTGGCTGGTTAGAAGGTCGCAAAAGGGGATCAGGTGACCCCAGGACACGTCAACTGTCGTAAATACAAGCCCAAATGTCTGAATCTTGATTGTTTGTGACTAACCCAGTTGGCTTCCAATGGGGGAAGGCAGATTTGTTTAACAACCATGTGATTCACTTAAGAACAGGAGCGAAAAGGTCGTAAGATTGGACACGGCTAAACCCACCTCATTTAGCAACAGAAATTCCTGTCCCGATTGTGGTCGTAGGTTTGAGGACCACCTATAATGTTTGCAAAACTCGCCTCTTAAAACAAATCTCTGCGTGTCTGAATTCCGAGATAACCTGAGATATGCTTCTCAAGGTAGAAATGTTAGTTACATCAACAACCACTTGACTCCAAGACACGAACTGGGCCTGGCTAGTCTAGGGAAGAGGAGGACCAGGGGAGATAGGATAGCAGTCTTCCAATATTTGAGGGGCTGCCACAGAGAGGAGGAAGGGGTCAAGCTATTTTCCAAAGCACCTGAAGGCCAGACAAGGAATAATGGATGGAAACTGAACAAGGAGAGATTTAACCAGGAAATAAGGAGAAACTTTCTGACAGTGAGAACAATCAACCCATGGAACAGAAGTTGCCTTCAGAACTTGTGGGAGCTTCATCCCTGGAGGCTTTCAAGAAGAGACTGGACTGCCCTCTGTCAGAAATGGTGTAGGGTCTCCCGCTTGGGCGGGGGGTTGGACTAGATGACCTACAACGTCCCTTCCAACTCTGATGATTAAATCTGTTAAATGCAGGTGATGAGTTCCTTTCAATTTCAAAAGGCAAGAAAGATATAATAATAAAGAAATGGATTTCAGCTAAAGTCAGTATAAAAAGAAAGCACATCTAATTGACAATAAAATTTCCATCTAAGGTGTTCTTATCTAGCCTGTTCCGAGAGACTGAAGTCAATGCGAAGCTTAACTGACAAGTTAAATCACATCAGGTTGAGAAACGAAGATTTATTGCTGAATCTATTTACTCGCTGAATTCTGGAAATTTGATATTATCCTGTAGTCTCCGGTGAGAATATTTTTTGCCTGCTCACTGGTTCAAACCAAGAATCTTTGTATATATTTTAAAAGGGTCACTTTTTTTTTTACTGCCTGACAAAATGGATTATTCTGTGGGGACAACAATCAGCTTGACAAAGGAAGGAATGTTTTCCTGTAATTTGATCGGAATCCTTCAAGGTCCAGTTGTTTAAACACACCCACCCAACAAACACTCGGACTGGTCTTTGTTGCTGTGGCTGTGCAGATGTTTCCAAAGTTTTGATGCAAAACATGCCTGCAACAACCTAAAGAAATCCCTTTTCTCCGAGATCTGGAGAATAACAGAATAATAGAGTTGGAAGGGACCTTGGAGGTCTTCCAGTCCACCCCCCTCCCCTGCTTAAGCAGAAAACGTTATACCATTTGAGACAAATGTCTTCCCAGTCTCTTCTTAAAAACCTCCAGTGATGGCGCACCTACAACTTCTGAAGACAACAGGTTAATTGTTTTTGCTGTCGGGAAATTTCTTCATTCTAAGTGGGATTTCTCTTTGATAATTTTCCATATCTTAACAGAATAACAGAGTTGGAAGGGACCCTGTTGTAGGTCATCTAGTCCAACTCCCCCGGCCAAGCAGGAGACCCTACGCCCTTTCTGACAGATGGGAATCCAATCTCTTCTTGAAAGCCTCCAGGGATGAAGCTCCCACAACTTCCAAAGGCAACTTCTGTTCCATGGGTTGATTGTTCTCACTGTCAGAAAGTTTCTTCTTATTTCCAAGTTGAATCTCTCCTTGATCAGTTTCCACCCATGATTCCTTCAGGTGCCTTGGAAAAGAGCTTGACTCCTTCCTCTCTGTGGCAGCCCCTCAAATACTGGATGATTGCTATCATGTCTCCCTTGGTCCTTCTCTTCACTAGACTAGCCAGGTTCAATTTCTGCAATCCACCCATTGCTTCTTGTCCTCCCCTCAGGTGCCTTGGAGAATAGCTTGACTCCCTCTTCTTTGGGGCAGCCCCTCAAATATTGGAAGACTGCTATCATGTCACCCCTAGTCCTTCTTTTCATTAGACACACCCAGTTCCTGCAAAACCATTCTTCGTATCCTCCAGTTCCCTAATCCTCTTTGTTGCTTTTTTCTGCACTCTTTCTGGAGTCTCAACATCTTTTTTACACCTTAGCGACCAAAACTGGATGCCATATTCGAAGTGTGGCCTTACAAAAGCGTTATAAAGGGGCATTAAACACTTCACGTGACAGAGTCTAACCAGGCAAAATCTATACCAATGAGATGGTCCCAGATGCAACTTAACCGAATGGGCGACCCCGTTGTTCCCCTTCCAGGATCACGTGAGCTGGCTCAGCCACCAAGTCATTTTTAATTGCTCCTTTCTGTATTACTCAACCCTTACAAAAGGTGCAACTTCAAGAATCTGGCTTTCCAGTGGGATTAATTAATACAAAACCAACTGGCATTCCATAAAGATATGCTTGCATGCCCTCTGGAAAATTTCTATCGTTGCCATTGTTAAGAGTAGACTGCGACTTGATAGCACATAATCAATGCGCCCCATGCTTATCCACTGAGACTGCCTTTATAGGCATAAGCTCCGACACTCGGCAAGAAGACACCAATTGTTATCGCCCGTAGTCTTAGTCTAGTAGTTGATTAAATCAGGGCGGTTATATCAGGTAGGAAGTCACAAGTGGAACTTCCTCAAAAGTATTCTGAGTGACCATTTTCTGATTGGTTAATCTCCCTAATGTCGAGACCATGAGAATCTTACTAGTAGGTCATCATCTATGGGGCATCATCAGTGGTGGGGATCAATTTTTTTTTACTACCAGTTCTGTGGGCGTGGCTTGGTGAACGTAACAGGGGAAGGTTGTACGGCCATGGTGGGTGTGGCCTAATGAGCCTCCTGCACCATGGCTGGGGGGGGGGTATTTTTACCCTCTCCAGGCTCCGGAGGCTTTTCTCAAACCTCCCCCGCGGTCCGGAGGCCCTCCGTAGGCTGTAAATGGGCCCGTTTTTGGACTTCCGGAAGGCCTGTTTTTCGCTCTCCCCCAAGCCTCCATGTGGGCTGTGCATTGACCTTGCATCCAAAATGGGCCGCATGGAGACTTCTGGGAAGGGACAGGAGGAGTGAGCAAGTCCAGCCAGGAGTTGGATTTGGGGGTTCTCCAAACTGCAAACAGAATCTTAGCTAGGGGCTCTCCAGAACCCCTGCAAAACCCCAGCAGCCCAGACCTGATTCTGAGGGGCCATTTTCTGACTCATTAATCTTTCTAATGTTAAGACTGTGAGAATCTTACTAGCAGGTCATCATCTACGGGTCATCATCATGCAAGACCTTGCTTTGTCCATCCACGGCAAGGGTCTCCAAACTTAGCCACTTTAAGACGTGTGGACTTCAACTCCCAGAATTCCCCAGCCAGCAGGTTTGAAGACCCACGATCCCCAAAATGGAAGCCCAAGATAGCTTTCTTTGAGAGTTGAGCATGACTTCAAGGGACCTCACAGACACCTCTGTACAGGTAGTCCTCAACTGAGGACCACAACTCCTTAATATTATTCATCTGGAGTCTGCCCAAAGGGTATTTGGGTATGTGCCAACAGACACAAATCTTGACGGCTGCTTGTCCAAAATCCGGAAGCCCACACCAACTTCCTCCAAGGAAGAGATCCACCTACCTGCCATCTTGTCTGCTGATGGTGTAGCCAAACAGAGGATTGTTGACAAAACTGATGTTCACGCCAACCAGAGGGGTCCCATCCGCTGTCATCACCTGCCCACGAATGACACAAGGGTGCCTGCAAGGAAGTTTTTAAAAAATAACAACACAAGTTGAAAGGAGTTGAATTGGCCAAACAAGGAGAAAGTTAGATTTTGCAGCATAAATTCAAGTCTAGAAAACACACAGATGATTGTGTCAGGATTCTGGCAGCTGCCCCCATTTAAATCATGAGTCTTGAGCCAAACTTCCAAAACTTATAAAGGATTTATTGGGAGTTAACATGTCTGGCACTGCCTGGGTGCAGCTGACTCTGAGACACATAATTCATTGTCATCCTTGAGCCTGGTTTTCTCCCCACCCTCTGGGTGTATCATAATTCATATTCTCCAATGGGACACATCCATAGCTAAGAGTCATCAATCAGGCTCTCCAGTTAGAATTTTGCTTGGCAGAAACTTCAGTCACCTAGTTACTATCTTTGAAAACTATTTATGGAATGCACTTTCCATTTCCAAGCTGCCCCACTTCTCCCCCCTCCCTTTCTGTTGGCAAAAGACCACAGAAATCATATCCAGCAGGATGATTAACTTCTTTATATATAAAATAAGTAAATGTACAACACCAGTGGTTTCTACCAACGAGGCCTAAGCAAAACCACAAGCAGCAGGGGGCTCAGGACAGAACTCAAGTTTCAGCAAGCAAGCAAAGTTATTTTCAGTTTCAATGCTCAGCAAAGCACCCAGAGCCAAACCACACCCGGTCTGTCAGCTCCCTGTCAGCGTTCCAGAAAAACCTCCATAACTACGAGACAGACATCTTCTCAAAAGTTCCTTTTATTTTGGATAGTAACCGGCACAACTGGGGAATCCTGAATCTGAAAGTTCCGGGCTTCCTTGCAATAAGTAAAAATTACAAATCCATCCCCTGCACTCATCATCGCATCACATGTTCCAATTACCATCCGTCCCAATTTAAGACTTCCTCTCACTTAGGCGCAAACTAACCTGACCTTGAATTAGAAAAAGAATGTTATTATGTCTAACTACATACACACACTCCAAGAAATTCCCCCCCCTCCCACTTTCCCAGGCTCAAAATGTGACAGCGTGGGAGCATCTGGTTTCAATATGGCTTCCAAAGCGGACACTCCCATTGGCTGGTCTGTTGCCATGCTTACTCACTTGCTGACTTTGTTAACCATGTCTCTGCCACTTAATGAATATGCTCTGACAGAGAAGACTTTGTAAGCGATGAACATGGATCTGCGACATTGTGGGTCATCATGGACTCTTCGTTTCAGCACCTCTAACTTCCATCAGGTGCTGCTGGCCATCTGCTGGGCCTCCACCTCTTGAAACGGGCTTCACCAGGTTTTTTGTTTTTTTGCATGCAAGGAAATCTGCCTCAGAACCTTCTTGGAATGGACCTTAAAAGAGTTTCATTCTCCAAATTTGGTTCTCTTATTCCGTTGTAACTCTACGTCTAATGTGGATTTCATGTTTGGGCCAGAGTAAATAGGTATTCCTTAATTTACAACCATTCATTTAGTGACCATTCAGAATTACAATGGCACTGAAAAAAAAAGTGACTTATGACCGGGATTTTTCCAACACTTATGACCGTTGCAGCATCTCCAGGGTCACGTGATCGAATTTCAGACGCTTGGCCACCGGCTCGTATTTACGATGGTTTGCAGTGTCCCGGGGAATCACGTCATCACCATTAGTGACCTTCCTAGCCTAGCATTTGATAAACAAAATTAAGAGGGGAAGCCAGGTTTGCTTAACGACCGCATGACTCACTTAACAAAGGTGTTGGTTTGAACTGGGGTGACATGATAGCAGCCTTCAGTATTTGTGGGGCTGCTACAAAGAAGAGGGAGGGTCAACCTATTTTCCAAAGCAACAGAAGGCAAGATAAGAAGCAATGGATGGAAACTAATCAAGGACAGAAGCAACCTAGAACTAGGGAGAAACTACCTAACAGTGAGGACCATCAATCAGTGGAACAGAAGCTGCCTTCAGAAGTTGTGGGTTTTTAAGAAGAATCTAGACCAGGGGTGGCTAACCTTTTTGGGCTCCTGTGCCAAAAATTGTGCTCACGCTTGTGTGCGTGCACTCACATGCCAGCACCCAGAAGGCAATGCGTGCGCCTCCCCCACCCCCCTGCCCATGTATGTACAATCCCCCCCGCCTTACCTGCACTGCGCCTTTGTCACTGGAACGGGCTTATTATTCATCCTGCAAAGCCTGCAGAGGCTTTTTTTAAGCCTCTGGGAGGCCGAAAATGGCCTCAAACCAGCTGAAAATCAGCTGTGAGGCACGTGCATGCACAGTGAGGTAAGTTTGCCTGCGGCTCACGTGCCGGCACAAATGGCTCTGCGTGCCACCTGTGGCACATGTGCCATAGGTTCGCCATCACGGGTCTAGACAGTCACTTATCTGAAATGGCCTAGATTCTCCTGCTTGAGCAGGGGGCTGGACTAAAAGACCTCCAAGATCCCTTCCAACTCTGTTTATTCTATTCTGTTCTGTTCTGTTCTGTTCTATTCTGTTCTATATTCTATTTTATATTCTATTCTATATTCTATTGTTCTATTCTATATTCTATGTTCTACATTCTATTCTACGTTCTGTTCTGTTCTGTTCTATTCTACGTTCTGTTCTGTTCTATATTCTATTTTATATTCTATTCTATATTCTATTCTATATTCTATTGTTCTATATTCTATATTCTATGTTCTTCGTTCTTCGTTCTATTCTATTCTATTCTATTCTATTCTATTCTATTCTATTCTATTCTATTCTATTCTACATTTTGTTCTATTCTACATTCTGTTCTATTCTATTCTATTCTATTCTATTCCATTCCATTCCATTCCATTCCATTCCACTCCACTCCACTCCACTCCACTCTGTTCTGTTCTGTTTTATTCTATTCTATTCTATTTTCTAGTCTAGTCTAGTCTAGTCTATTGGACAAATATTTGACTGGGATGGATAAAGACTTGAGCCGGGATTTGGATCAGCTGCCTTGCTTAGCAATGAAAATTTTGGATTCAGTGCTTGTCGTACATCAAGAACTACCTGCAGTTCGTTCTGTTTACATACACAAGGTTCGATTCTTTAAATTTAGAGATGCGGTTTGGAGTGCCGGCTCCTGAGTGATGCGCAGGGCCGAATGTTTCCTATTCCAATCTATATACCACATGCGGACTTGGAACACTCCCAGCTTCTGGATTTTAATGTGCAGGAAAGCACTGCTTTTAACGGGGATATATTTCAATCAGCAAAACCCTCTCTCTCTCTCAACTGCCTCCAGCTATACTGTCTTTGATTTACATGCATTGGGGAACCCGACAATTGTTGCCAGGTGTTGAGCTATTTCCGTACAAAGGGGAATTCAAAGGCATTAAGTCCAAGGGACAAAGGTCTTTGCAGTCTTAAACGCCAACAAGGAAGATTCCTGCAGCGCTCACTTTGAGAGCATGGATAACAGAGTCGGAAGGGGGATCTTCAAGGTCTTCTAGTCCACCCCCCCCTGCTCAAGCAGGAGTCCCTATACCATTGGTTCCTGACGGAGCAGGGGGTTGGACTAGAAGACCTACAAGGTCTCTTCCAGTTCTGTTATTTCAGACAAGTGAATGTCCAATCTCTGCTTAAAAATCTCCAGTGATGGAGCTCCCATAACTTCTAGCGGCAAGTGACTCTACTGATTAATTATTGTTTCTGTCAGAAAATTTCTCCTTAATTCTAGGTTGGATCTCTCCTTGATAACCTTCCATCTACTGCTTCTTGCCCTACCTTCTGGTGCTTTGGAGCAGTGGTCACCAACCAACGGGCCAGGGACCACTGGCGGTCAATGGGAAAATTTTGGTGGTCTGCAGAGAAATGTCACCCCCAAAGTAATTAATCCAGGCAGCGCGGGAACACAAAGCTGTGCCGCCCACATGGTCCGCGGAAACACAAAGCTTGCGTTACTTGCATTGCGAACAACATGAGGTAGTAAGGGGTGGAGGGAAAGGGCGGAGGGGGGAACTTGCCCCACGCACCCCACGCGCCTGGCCTGGCCACCGGGCTGCTTCTTTCCACTTCTTTCTTCTTCTGCTTTTGGCTGCACGCAAGGAAAGCAGCAAAAGTCTTTCTTTCTCTCCCACAAACTCTGCCAGAAATGAGTCTTTGGGACTCTGCAAGGCATCCTGCTCCAAGAGGCTGCGCCGGCACGACAAATCTCACAAAGACTCATTTCTGGCAGAGTTTGGGGGAGAGAACGAAAGACTTCTGCTGCTTCTGCTGCTTTCCTTGCATGAAGCCAAAAGTCTCTCCTCCTCCCCCCCGCCCGAGAACGGAGCTGGAGACGGTATCCCTGCGATCCCAAATAAAGAATGATCGATCGGTAGGAGAACAAGGTGGGGAATTTTCCTGTTGACTTTTGGGAGGATTTTCCCAGGGTCTCTGCTGCTTTCTGCAGAGAGCCTGGGAAAACATCAGCAAGTCACCGCCAGTCAAAATTCACATTTAGTGGTCTACAGGATTTAAAATTATGAGTTTGGTGGTCCCTGAAGTCCAAAATCCGCTGCTTTGGAGAATAGATTGACCCTCTCTTTTTTGTGGCAGCCCCTCAAATATTAGAAGACTGCTATCATGTCACCCCACGTCCTTCTTTTCATTAAACCAGAAATACCCAATTCCTGCCACCATTCCATTCTTCACACGTTTCAGCCTCCAGTCCCCTAATCCTCTTTGTTGCTCTCTCTGCCCTCTTTCTGGAGTCTCAACATCCTTTTTTTACATCGTGGCGACCAAAACTGGATGCACTATTCCAAGGGTGGCTTTATCGAGGGTGGTATTAATGCTTCATGTGTGTTCAGGGATGATCGTATCTTTAATGGTGTTTCTGAAACCCCAGTTGGTGAATCTGAAGCAAAACTATGTAGGTGAACAGAAAACTTTGGAAGCAACAATGGCTGGGAGAAATGCAAAGGTGTGTGTGTGTGTGTATTTGTGTATATATATGCCTACACGATAGTGTATTTGCATAAGGCAAATTCCTCAAAACCTGAGGCCCCACATCCTG